ACTGTCCTGCGTATAGGAGGACGATTATTAGGACGGCGTTGACCACTCTAATATGACTGGTTCACAACAACATACAGAACATGGAATGGCCTGAGACACAGAGAAGTGACTGACCTAGAGAGACAAAGACAAACCCAAAGACAAAGAACTGAACAACCTCTCAGTGGAATGAGACCTTTGATCTTACCGGCAGCAAAACACATCAGATCACTCAACATGATCCAAACTAATGACTCAAAGAATTATATACGTGTCAGATGTGTGGTGCAGATACCTTTGGGAATGAGCTGTATGATGAAAATCATAGCTCCACCCATGAGAAGAGTGGAGGACTGACAGAATCTCCTGCTGCAGTATCTGAGCAACAGCATGGCTATAATGAAAGCTGGGATCTCCACCACTGCAGACGGGAAGAAATTCAGGTACAGATTTCCATGAAGGTTTGTGGTGTTCAGAATGAGAGCATAGTAAGACATGGTGATGACCATCCTAAAGGGAAAAACAGCTCTTGTAAATCAGTTGCTTTTACCAGTCTCTCAATCCTGCGGCTAGAGCTTTTCTTCCCACTTTACGTGTCTCACTAATCTGACACATCTGATTCAGGAACGGATCAGGTGGGTTAAATAAGGGACGCATCCATCTGACGCATTCATATGCCAGTCATCACAGTTAATCAAAATTAATTACAAATCAGTATTTGCCCCAAATGATCGTTCAAAGATAGGACTATTTCTTTGCCAGACGAGTAATCAATGTATAGACAATACAAAAACGGACTTTGGTTTTGAGAATGTTTAATGTCTGTAATGCAGCTGTTTTTAATGGCTGGTCTATGTTCTTGCAGACTGAAATTTCATACAGTTTGTCTCACTGTTTGATGAGGTGTGATTCATCTAGTAGTTGCTGGGCTGTGCTGACTACAAACTCACACAAACATGAAGGTGGTACTTCAAGCTTGTTAAACAAAAAAGTATCTCTACTAACGTGCTGCATCAGGTGTGTTTGATTAAGGAGACATGCAAACTGTGCAGTGTTGAGACTCCAGGAACAGGACCGAGAATAGCTGTTATAGACCTCTGTGTGGTGTCAGGACTGAGAAACGTATACTTACACTCCATTTAGAGCAAGATTTGTTTTTATAACATCACATAGGTAATATAGTTAATAACTGTGACCAAGTAGAAAATGAAAAAAAAAGGAAAATTAAAACAAACAGCATACCACAGAAGTGAACATGGTTAAAACAGCATTACAGTTCCTTAAAATATCCAGAATATTATCTTTTTTCTCCCTCATCTTTGCTGCTTCTTCAATCTAAGGAAACATAAAAAGCATCAATGCAACTGAAGCATTGAGAAGCGAGTCTGTTTATTTAGGGCCTGTTTGACTAAATTTCATATGTATTTGCCAAATATATTTAGCCAAAATCAGATGGGGTCCCTGATTCCCCGGGGCCCTAAGCGACCGCTTTCCTTGCTTATTGGTTAAGTCATTGAAGACATCTAATATGAAGTGAACTGCACACAACTAATGACTGTCCTGAATCAGATGAAATATGTCCACACTCTTTACAGCTCAGACCACTGGATTATAGCCCTCCCTTCTTGGTTCATACCCGTTTTGTTATGACACCACAATGGAAAATCTTCCTTCATGTGTTATCTTGATTATTCACACATCTTTGTCAAATTTACATTATTTATCAGCAATTTTTAATTATTATAAAATAATAAAATGGTAAATACAGGAGGCCAGTGAGGGCATTTGTAAGCACCAGCCATCGCCAGCTACGGATGAAATAAGCTGCTAATGGAAAGAACATCTGACCGATTCCAGACCCCATGAAGATTCCCAGAGAACCAAACACTGAGAACTTCACAGCCTGCCGATCAAGAGGAATGTGTGATTCATGTGACAGATGATTTTTGAAACTGTGTTAATGATTGGAAGGACATTAATTGTTTAACCTAGGACATATGCTACAACATAATTAGAAAAACCACTGAATCCCACAAAGATTTCCCAGCTTGGAGAAAACATCTGGATAAGGATAGTTACTGTCTGCATAGCCATCATGGCAAAAAGTACAGGCCTCCTGCCATACCTGCACATAGCAGATATATCATATTAAATTATTTATTAGGAAAGCATGTTAGAGTCATATTTCAATTCCACATATTTAAAATCAGAGGTTTAGCTTAGCTGCCTGCTCTGCTAGCTAAGAGTGTCATAACGCTGACAGGCGCTGACCTGTCAGACATCTGTCCTGAAAGGAAGGTCCCCACCAACACACCAAAGAAATATATCGATGAGGTCAGAGGCCCTTTATACTCATTCTCACATATCAGGTCACACTGAAAAACACAAACGAAGAAAAGTAACTTTTAAAAAGTTAATTCATTCATATGTTGCTTATATTCATAGCATATCTTATAAGTTGGTCTGTGTCAGAGTTCTCAAACGGTTTTGTCTACTGAGCACATATGACATTAAATATTACTATAAAACATGCTGTGTAATTTCTCATGCAGACTGTTGTCATTTCTAGACTAAACTACCAGAATCTTCTTCTATGTTCAGCATGTTCAATCAAACCTCTGTAACGGAACGCAGCAGCACGACTGGTCTTTAGTGAGCCAGAGAAAGCCCACAGTAACCCTGTCTTCATGTCGCTTCACTGAGTACTGATCACTGATGCAGAACACTGATTCTTATTGAATTAAATGTAACCTGTTAAAATACTCTACAATGTGACAAGGGAAAAATAATGCAAAATATTAAGAACACTTATTTTTCAGTACACTGAAATATATGCAATGCAATAAAAACTCTGTCACAAACGGGTTGCAAACAAAGTTGAAGCAGGATCTAGCTGCAGCACAATTGAAATGTGTTAAACAAAAGTCAGGATATATAAGACACGGGACAGAACGACCACTCCGAACGAAACCATAACAGACATCTGAACTAAACCAAACACTGAAATACACAGAACTAATCAGGGAGAAGAGAAACAGGTGTGAACTAACCTGAAACCATAGAAACTAACCAGTGGCGGGAGAACAGGAACAAAAGAAAATGAGTCCAACTAGAAAACTAGAACAAAACCCAAAACAGAACATAGACGTGACAAACACTCAACGAATTAATTTCTCTTTCATGAGTTAATGCATGGGTTGACAAAGCTAAACACATTCATGTGTGCAAGTATATTTATACACACAGAACCGTATTTTATCACGTTCATCTATATATATATATATATTATGAAGGATATTACTGAATATCAAATGACACATTATGATGTATAAGTAAATGTATTGCCATATTTTTCAATATATGAAAAGCAGCAATTGCTTCTGCATTATTCAATATTGTCAGCAACACACAGGGAACACTCAGGCAAGAGGCAATAACAACAAGCTTTATTATGGTGAGGAGCAGAGGATCAAGACGGCAGGAGAAGCTAAGCATCAACAGTTCAGTACAGCAGGCAATGGAACTCAGCTGATTGAGTAAGCAGAGTCTTTCCTTGTCTCACAGATGACAAAAGAGCAGGATCTCAGGAGAACACAGGTGAGTAAGCACTGTCAGGTAATGCCGAGTTCACACTGCACGATTTTCAAACTCGTCGGATGCCCTCTATCTTGGTCTCTCATTGGCTGTAGGTCATCGCCGATGTGTTTTTCAGTCAGAACTCATTTCACACAGCGTGATTGTGAATCGCCGACAGCTCCAGATATTTAGCATGCCAAATATTTCACGGGCGTCGGCGACGTGCCGGTGATTCCCTCAGATCGCGTCTTTGATAATTCACACTGCGTGATTGTCACTCACATGAACGAGCACCGATTTGCCTCCGATGTCGGGCATTTGTCGGCGATTTCGCAAAACCTGTCGGCGAGTGAAAAATCGGGCTAATATCGTGCAGTGTGAACTCGGCATAAGAGTCACTAGGAGCAACCTTGACCCCAGCCAGTGGCTTTACAGGAGTGACACAGCAACAGGTGCGGGTGATTAGAAGACTGGAGCGAGTGGATGGTGATGTATAACAAGGGACAGGTGAGGGAGTGTGAAGGATTGTGGGTAATGGAGTCCATGGGGAAAATAGAACCGCATGACCGTGACAAATATATTGTAATATATTAACACAATATTTTATTCTGTATATTTTCAATAGCATTAAATAATTTAGCTGGAAACAATGATACCGCTGATAGCAATATTAATACAGCAAATCCACAGGCAGTTATGCTAACAAACGCAGAGTCTGATGAACTTGTCAAGTTGGAGAATCAGCTGGAACCATGCAGATGTGTGAGCTACCAGATCTTTGGTTATATAGAATTGCTAGCTAACATTGTCATAGTTAATCCTGTGATTAGAGTCAAGACACCTTTATTTCTATAGTGCTTTATACAATACAGATTGTTTCCAACAGCTTGACAATAATAATAGCAGGCTCAGTCAGGTCCTCTGGGCTAAATGAACGTGTGATATTGATTCCAGGCTGCATCGCAAGTCAGATGTGTGGATTGATATTATTTAATATAACCTTTATAAACTGTATGAGGTATATATTTTGCAGACTGTCGTCCTGCCTGCACTTTGCCACCTGCATTTCTCCTCTAGTTTGCTTCCTAATCTCGCTGTCTGATACATCTGCCATAGTGTATTACAAATATTGTTGGCTCTTTGACAAACTGATTTTGTCCCTCTTTTGTAAGTCACTTCAGATAAAAGCGTCTGTATAATAGTGTTATTGTGCTGGTATCGTAAGGACTACCGTGGACAGCTGACTCCTAAAGGTTTTGATATTCTGCATATTCTGTGTGGTGATCAATTCATAGCAGTGATAGAAGTTAATCTTTTCCAATAAGTTTAAATAGATTTTTACCTTTTATGGGCATTTTTACCTTTATAAAGCCTTTTTTTCTAAAAGTGTGCATCATCTTTTCAGTCAAATTCTTAAATTGAATCAGTCAATTAGAATAATAAGTGATTTGGGCTGTTACCAAGCAAATTAAATCCGTATTGACAAAATTTATCTTTGCAATGCAGAGAAAACACAGAAGCTGCATTAGAAGTGGCATTTAGATGCGTTTACACACTGTTTAATGCACGACATGAACGTATTCAGTGTTGGGAAGTGTAATAGGTTACAGATTACAAGTTACCCTATTTAAAATTTAATAGTAGTGTAACTTTTTCAATTACTTTATGAAAGTAATGTAACTGATTACTTTTGATTACTTTTTTGATTACTTTTCTACATTTCTAATGAATGTTCAAATTTGAACACATCCACCACAAAATCAGACTTTAGTACCGCCTTTTACTTTAAGATTGATCTGATGTTGAATGCAGATTTAAAATCATAAGAAATAGATTACTGATACTGTTTTTGAAACCAAATAATTGCATAACTACAGGAAACACTGCATCTAACAATGGTTTGGAGAAAAAACCATGACAGCGTCATATTGCTCAGAGACGCAAATTGGAATTATATTTGTTGGCGAAATACAGCAAAAACAGTCAATATTGTGTCTAAAACATAAGTGTTTTAATATTAAATTGTTGTTTATTGAACTGCTGTATAAAATCAATATCACATTTGTAATCATGCTGCTTTTTGGTGGAAAAAACGTCAGTCGTCGCTTGATACTAATTAACTATATGAAATGATATAAATATATAAATTTCTGCCCCCATATCTTGAATTTTGTGATCATTCTAAATGCATTTTAGTAAACTGAATCATGCAGTGAAAGAGCGCGCACTGGTCTAACCTACTAGCCTTTAGCTAACTTACATTGTAGCTCTCTCGTGAGTCATGGATGTTAGCAAGACAAATTAACTATAATTGCCTTTTGTCCTTTGGATAATTAGCTGTAAATTCGAGGCACAGGTAGCTTAGTCTTTCGTTCATCACCACTCACCTCCACAGCAAGACAAACACAGCTGGAAAGCGAGGGAGGCTCTCTGTCTGTCAGTGATGTGCATGTGCTGATCAATGTGTGCTGCACTGCTGTGCTGGGGAGAAAGTCTCAACAATTCCCCACCCGACCTGATATTTTGACTTTTTATTTGACAGGGAAAGCTGTGCGCAAACAGAAACACACACACTCACACTTATATATATATATTTATTTATATATATAAAAAAAAAACACTCCCCAGAAAAAAGGGCACTTTCTCTCGAGGAAGAAAAAGGGCAGGTGCTCAAGCCCCCTTTGATGTCTATGTGTGCACCTGCCTGCTCTTTCACTTTCTCTTCAGTTTCAAGATGTTGGGTTCTCGAAGTTGGAAATTTAATTCTCTACTGCTCTCTGATAAAGCATTTTGTGATTCATTAAAAAATCAATTAGATATATTTTTGGAGATAAATACCATCCCTGAGGCCTCACCTTCCATAATTTGGGAATCTTTTAAAGCATATGCTCGGGGTCAAGTCATTTCATATTCAGCTTGTGTAAATAGACAAAGAAGGAAGAAGCTAGAAGAATTATCTCTTGAAATAATTCGGCTTGATTCGGCTTATGCAGCTTCTCCAGATCCTGGAATTTACAAAAAGAGACTCAAACTTCAATCTGATTGTAATATGTTATCAACCCATCAGGCTGAAAAGTTATTGCTGAAGGCTAAACATGCATTTTTTGAGCATGGTGACAAGCTTCTTGCACTTCAGTTAAAGGAAAAGTCAGCTCAAAATTTAATTTCTAAGATTCTGTCCTCCGATGGCAATTTGATTACTGACCTGACCCTGTTATTATTACTAAACATTTTAACGATTATTACTCTTTGCTATACAAGTCAGAACCCCCCTCAGATAGGTCCCTTATGGAAAGTTTTTTTGAACCATTGCACATACCTACAATAACGGACACAATGAGAGAAGAGTTAGAATTACCTTTTTCCGCAGAGGAGACAGTGCAAGCAATTGAGAGTATGCAGAATGGCAAGACCCCTGTTGAATTTTTTCTCAAAGAGGTTTTCTCAAACACTTAAAAACGCCGCTCCTAAACATGTTATTGGACTCCCTTAATAATGGCTGGCTGCCTCCAACCCCCCGTCAGTCTTGTATTTCTTTGATTTTGAAAAAAGTCAAAGACCCACACGAATGTGGTTCTTACAGGCCAATCAGTCTTTTGAACGTAGATGTAAAGATACTGGCTACAATGCTTGCAAAGCGTCTTGAATCAGTTTTACTGACAATCATACATAGCGACCAAACTGGTTTTTATTAAAAACAGATTACTGTCTCATAATATTAGAAGGGCATTTAATATAATTTATTCCTCTAATTCTCTCCCTTCAGAGGCTCTTCTGCTGCTTGACGCAGAGAAAGCCTTTGATCGGCTGGAGTGGGATTACCTTTTCTATGTGCTACAGAAATTCGGTTTTCGCAATAATTTGATTCACTTTGATCCACGAGTTGTACATTTTTGTAAGGACAGGTATTTATAAATGTATTCAAGTACGTTAACGTTACGTTAGTTGGCTCAAGCCATACCAGAAAAGCTTGTGTTATTTACCAAAGACATTTATGTTCTTAAAATTTAAC